GGGGGGGGGGGGGGAGGGGGGGGGGGGGGGAAGGGGCGTGGTGGGGGCAGAATGAGGCCCCCCACAGTGAGGGAGGGACTGGGGCAGGGGCAGGGACAGGATTTGTGTGGTGGGGGGAGGGTGGGCAGACCACTGCAGGCTTCAGGCAAAGGGCTGCGCCAGCTTCATCCTGGCCAGGGGGGCTGGGCTGGGGCTGGCACTGAGAGGGGTGGCTATGGGCAATTTTGGGGTGGCAATAGCTCACCCTGTAGCCCCCCCCATCCCAGCACCACTGCCACCCACCCCACTCCCACCTGCCCTAAGTGCAGACCCAGTTTAGCCCCTCCATTAGGAAGAGGCCAGTGCAGCCCCTGGTTTCAAGCCCACAGTGGGCAGCCCAACTTCACCCCCCACACAAATTGGGGGGGGCACATGCCCCCTATGCCTCCCCTGCAGATGTGTGCAGTGGTGGGGAACCACCCACCCTCCCAACATCCCCCCTGTGCCCCCTGGATGAGCACCCTGGAGATACATGCAGCAGCAGGGAGCCACCCACCCACCCTACACCCCTGTCCATCTGCTGGATGAGTCACCTGCGGCTCCATCCCACTCCTGGGCTTGTATTCACCACCCTGGCTGAGCAGCGCCTGCCCCTGCCCCACTCCCTCCCTCACCATGGGGGCCTTGATCTGCTCCCCCATGCCCCTTCCCCTCCAAGCTGCCTGGCTGCATTCCTGGCCATGTGCATGCTACAGCTGCATGCATGTGGCATTTATCGGTGACATTATTGGCTACACTGGCCAAAAAAGCCAATTGCTGATAGTGCTGATTTTCCTTTTATTGGTGCTGATCCTATATGCCACTGATATATCAGTGAACCTTTAAAAATATCCATGATGCACTTGACTATTGAACATGGCATGTAAGAGACATATCCCTGCCTGACCCCAGGGAGAGGTATTTAGCTGCTTTAATCTGAAACCAGGCAGAAGGCAGGGCAGAGTTGACCTTATAGATAGCATATGAGGTACAGCTCTGTCCTCTCTTCTGACCCCACAGAAAGAAGAGCAGCTTAGCCCTAGAATCACCAGATATCCTTTCCCTGGTCATCATTTTATATTAAACATGCTTCCCTAATGCAGTAGCTTTCTGACTTGTATTTATTTTTTCTCCACCAAGGGAGATTTCTTCTTGGATTCTTTTAAAATCTTTAATCCAGCTACAGGTCCATAAAATACTGAAGTTGCTCTTCCAGCATTTGTCCCCATGTCAGTACCAACCAGTTACCTTGCTATAGGCAATTTGTAGTGTTAATGGGATTGCTTCTCTGTCCCCGTCTATGCCCAGCCTTTTGCTGCCTGGACCTGTGCAATACAAAACAGGAGTTGAAACCACACAACAGCTTTTTTTCCTCCCCATCATTCAATACATTTCCAGACCCCCTCAGCAAAAGCCACTTTGTTGCTGATGGATCCAATTCTCCTCTGTCTCTCAAATCACAAGGCAGAAAACAGCAGAAGAGTGGGCCATTTTCAACCTCGTGGGACAAATGGACATAGGAGTCACCCCTTGCAGCGTATATGATGGTTGGGTGGTAGACACTCCTGCTTATTAAAAACAAATATAAAACCACAACATACTATACTTCAGCCTTCCTTTGGGCCTTGAATCATCTTTTTCTAGGGGCTCTCCCATTCCACCCTACATCTAACATCCATTCCCAATTCCAAGAATTATTATTTTGCTAATTGTTCAGAACACTTGAGACAGTTTAGGAATGGTGATCCTTTCCATTGCCTGATACGTGTTACTGCATCAGAGAGGAAGTCTTCCAATCATTTTACTAGAATATGACTGAAGACAAAAGAGAAAAATAAAATGTAGTTTAATAGCTGCCTCAGATGTAAATAAGCTAACTTGGGATGTTCAATGTGAAACATGGCAAGTGGGTGCTGACATCTCCACAGGATTCACAATTAAAATATATTTATGGGCACTGTTAGGTAAATGTGTCTTGGAAAAAATACAAAAGAGCAAAAGTGTGGTTTTCTAAATGGACCTCCTTTTCTGCAGGTTCAAATTTGTACTCAAATCAAGCTGGGCCTGAAATATTGGACTTGAAGTCCATTAGTACATTGCCCTGGAAAATGTATTGCAGGTATAAAAGAACAAGTGTGAGAACTGCATTAGTTGAACTAAAGGCCCAGTTAAAATCAGGCTCTTAACGTTTCAAACCAAAGAAGGCTGTTTGGTTCACTATTTATAGGAACCATAAATTGATCGAGTCCATAGTTGCAGGGAGGCAATATACTCCCAGCAAGTAGGACACTGCAGTTTGCTTAGCAGAGACAGGAAGAGGGAAAAGCAATCTGTCCAGGGAAAAACAAAACTAACTCCTATGTTTTAGCAGTATATTATTCAGCCAGTAGGTGTCTCTACAGGTGGCATGACATTTCAGACAACCATGGAAAACAAAACTGGTGCCCAAGCAGTATGAATGCTGGTGTGCCTGTAGTTGTAGCTGTTTTCTGTACTAAAAATACTTAATTTTTAAATAGATGTGACTCCCATATATCAGGGCAGATTACATGCCTTCATGTGAAATGCATCAATTCTCTGCTTTGCCTAAATAAAGTGTAAGCACAGAATTTTAGAAGTTAAGTCCAAGAGATAACACACAAAATAGAAAGAGTAAAGCAGTAAGAAACAGAGCCAAAAACCCCAAGATAAATACCACCTTCTGAAAAACAGCTATCCTGTATCAGGGTCTGATGACAGGGAAGAACCTATTTGTAGTTATCTTAAATTAACTTCAGACCAGGATGAACATAATGAAAATGCTCCCTGAGATATGGAAGCTGGTAAGACATCATTGAAGGAAAATATAAGCTTTATAAATTTATGACTTTAATTTCTAGGTTTTTAAAAAAATAAAAACAAAAGAAACATCTCTAGATCCCAGCTCACAGCAGTCTCTCTCACCACAGTCTTCTCCCAGCCCCACTTCCAACCCAGGCCAGGCACTGGTCTGATTTTCTTCTGAAGTCCTCCATCCTTTGTAAGCAACAACTCATTAAGCATCTATCTTCTGGTCTATCTGCACCTCCATTTCTAAAGCTGACTATATTACTATTATATCCATGATGTGTGACACAAAGGGGAGCAAATACATACCTGAAGCTTTGATGGCCCGAGTGGCAGCTGAATGCCCCAGCTCTAAGGAATGGATGAAGACCTCTGTTATCTTCTGCCCCCCCATCAAGGTTAGCTGTCAGGTGAAGGAGACAGGAGATATGCTAGTGAGCTAACATCAAAACAACATTCATAACAACAGCTGGGCACATCCCCAGCACTAAACTTTTTTTTGGCAGAAAAGGACACTGAAGTACTGAAATGCTTCACAATTTTCTGAATTGTTAGTCTAAAAAAATTTCAAAAAGTAAATCCTAAAAAAAGGTCATTTTCAGAATAAAACATTTCAATTTTTCATTTCAAATTATTTTAAATGTCCTTTATTAAAATTGCAAGCATTAAAAAGCATTTAATTAAAATTGCAAGCATTAAATTGTTCAAAATAGTTGAATACAAAAGTAAAAAAGTGATTCAAGGACCATTAGTGTCATCTGCTCTGTATGCCCAAGTCCCAAAGTGTTAGTAACTACTCATGGTACAAGAGTAGCAGTCCAGTATTAATGTAGAAGCCTCCTATGCCATTTCAGTTACCAGACCAGGTACATCAGCTCACAACCTGTAGCCCATGTCAGTGTAGTACCTGTAACTAGGAGGCTCTGCTAGGTTGAGAGAGCTGGTACAGGCAGACAGCTAATGGAAGCACAGTTTCACCACCCATGCTGGCCAGGTCTGACAAGCAAACTGGCCAAACCATTGAGCGTGATGGAGGTAGCAGTAATGGGGAGATGTTCTGCTCTGTCAGGGGGAAAACTGGACTCCTAGCTGGTCTATTCAGAGACTACCAGTCCCACGATCAGATAAGATAAGAGGGAAAGCTCCAGTCCTGCCTACCTCTGTCTGATAGAGCTGCAGTAGCACTGGGCGCATAGCGAACCGACAGTAGTAAAGGATCATGTCAGCCAGGATAGGCAGCTGCTCCCTGGAGTCCTCTTGTGGCTCCATTTCAGGCTTGACAGATTGCTAGTGTAAGCACAAGGAGAGAAATTAAAAACACATTCAGCTTGTCCTATGTCCTGCTTGCCCAGGGCTGAAAAGTACTGGGGGAAGAGACTAAAAACCTCCATTTATCCCTCAAACAGGCACATCAGAGAAGAGGTTCACCCATAAGTGCCCTTCAGCCCTACCCTACTAGGACCAGCTGCTAGAATGAGAGGGGAGTGCAACCCTCTCTATTGACAATAGGGACAAGGAGGACCATGATGGCACAGTAACAGAAAGACTGACTTTCACATTTGAGTATCTCTCTCTATTTCCTTACTGGCAGTTTTGTTCCCTAATGCACAACAGAGGTGACAGGGATGCTGCCTTCCTGCTCACCATTCTGTGAACACACTAGAGGAAGGGCAGGGAAATTAGGGGTCTGGCGTAGAAGCCAGAGATCATCTGTAAATACAATGAGCCTAGTGGATTGGGACTGTCAGGGTCACTGCCAACTGATGCAACAGGGTGAACACTCCAAAGGAATAGGGAACCTCTCACCCCATAACAACTCTGGAAAGGGAGGGGAAGGGAAAGACCCTATGCCAAGCTCATTTTTTCCTGGACATACCTGGCCCAAGACATCTGTGGGCAGGTTCATCAGTCCAAGAACATTGCGCTCGTACCATGGGTCCAACATCCCAATGTAATTGGAGATATCAGTGGTGCTGCTTTCCATCCCAGCCAAGAAGGGCTCCTGCAACCAAATGGACAATCACTTGTGGTTTATTTCATTTGTTTTAATTCTTACAAATTAATTTTAGTGGGTGGCAGGTGCCAAATTAAGGCCCAGGAGGTACCAGGCTGAGTAGAGAACCTGTGGCAGCATTTCCTTTACAGAGTGCTCCAGCCTTCCAGCCTTAGAGGTTCTCTCCCCGGTTCCTGTTTAGTGTATGGCTTCTCTGCTGAGCCAGCTGTTATGTTCCAAGCCTGGGTTTTTTGTGATGCAGAGAACCATTTGCACTAGGATAGCAGGCAAAACACATACCACCATTTGTGCTGAGGCTCTGAGATGAGGTTCTCCTGGAGAAGGAGGATGTGTCAGTGGTGTAGATGAGGTAAAACTGCTCCTTTTCACAGGGATGTAGAAAAACTGCAGCTTGAAGTACCTTGTCAGTAATGGACAATTGCTTTCTTGCAATCTAGAAGGGAGGAAAGAGGCTGGGTGAGTGAGGCAAAACACACTGGCAAGCCAGTGAGATCAATGGTAGTGCACTGAGATGTGCTATCAGCCACATATGTGAGCCTGCACCACCACATGTGCATGTGCACATCACACCCCTCCCACACTCACCTGCAGGGCAAAGGAAATCATTTAACTCTCCATCATTTGACTTCAGTGGTAAGCTCTTTGGCACAGGGAATATTATTTTGTTATCTCTGAAGGATATGTAACCCAGGGGGGGCCTCATAATATCAAGACATGATTTAATGCCATTGCCAAACAGCAATGACACTGCAGCATCATAGAAAAATGGGGCTGGAAGGGAGCTCAAGAGATCATCTATCCCAATCCCCCGCTCAAGGTAGGATCTTCTCTGTCTAAATCATCCCAGAGAAATGTTTGTTTAACATTAAAAACTTCCAGTGAGAAGGACTCCACAACCTCTCTAGATAAAGATTTGAATCCCTGATTCTTTTATAAAGGCAAAGGTCTACATGCACTAGAATTGTATGTGCGCTGTGGGGAAGGGAGGGAGACACTGTGGTAAAGTGTACCTCACCACACCTTAATCCTAAAAGATAACTGCAGAAATCCTATTCTCCATCACCACCTTCCAGTACAATCAGCCTCATAAAAAGGTGGCAGAGGATGGGGGTCAGATCCTTTGGGGAATTAAGCAAGATGCTCAGAGTGAGACCACCTGAAATTACAGCCTTTGGACTCCAGGGGCTAGATTGTGGGGTCAGGGCAGTGTACATACATTGTAATGACAGCCACCTTCCCATGGTTTTGTCCTGCTCACCTGAGGTTGCTGTAGGCCCTGGCCACTTTTCCTGAGATGCGGTCTGACCCAAAGACCACAACACGCAAAGTAGACACCTTGGTATCCTCATCATAACTGAGAAAAGGCCTGCGCTGGACGCACACTTTCTGGGTTGTGTGTTGCGGCGGCAGGCGTAGTCTCAGCACGTGCTGGGGCAGGGAGTGGGCCCTCCGGGAGCGCGCTGGGATGCGGTGCTTGGCTTCTGGATTGCCCAGGCTCTCAGCCCGGCGTAGAGGCAGTGAGAGCGACCCTATGTCTCGATAGTCTTTCAGGTCTTTCCTCAAGACCAGCTGGCTTCTGCTCTTGAAGAGTTTGTAGATCTTATTGGTCAGACTTTGCCTCTGTTTGTGAAGTGTCTTCTCCCTCAGCTCTGGCCTCCCCAGAACCTCAAGAGAGCTCTCATCGCTGTCTTCTGCATAGCCACTGTCCATGCAGTCCTTGAGGCTTGAGACAAAGGACTTGAATGTCTTCTTGGAGACCAGAGACAGCTCTGACAGAGAGTCCTTGGAACTGGTGAAAAGGGATATCCTCGAATGCTTAGACATGTCCTCTGATAGAGCAGGGTACACAGACTCCTTGGAAACGGCTGAAATGGAAGAAAGCAGTGAGTCCCTTTCTGGAAAACAGCCATCAATTTCCACCTCTTCCTCCTCCTCTTCCTCCTCTTCATTTTCCAAGACGACTGGCTTAGCAATGTCACATTCTTTGATAAGCACCTCATTGAGGATATCTGGAAGGCAATGTAGGAAGAATCAGAGCCAGGGCAGAACCCTAAACACCACAGCACAAAACCGTACCAAAAACAAGAGACACACAGTGAATCAGGCCTCCTCCCACCCATCTGTCCTGGAACCAGTTTGCAATGACTCCCTACTACTGTACCTAATCTCCAAAAATTTGCTAGATTCAAATAAGTGAAGTGATGGAACTGCTCTCATTTTTCCTAGGAAGCCATTCTACAGCCTAGTATCAAATGTAGCAGTCATCTTATTAGAAACTGTGAACCTTTTCTGGTCAAAATTAGCTTTTCCATAAATATCATAGTTATGTTGAAATTAAGCATGTTCAAGAAAACTGCTCAATATAAAAGAAGAACTGAAAAGAGAAACAAATATTTTGTTCCAAACTAAGATTTTGTTCCAAGTACGCTATTGAAAACTCAAAGAATGTTTTTGTTTAACTTATTTTTCTAATTAGACCTTGCTATTGGATTTTTCCCTCTCTTGTGCCTCCCACAATGCACTGAAGATCCATTTAATCAAAAAGAAAATGTTAACAGCCAGTCAGGGAAGAAGCGATAATGCCACCTAATGATAACTGGCTGCCTGACAAAACTCTGCTTAATGAAAAGAATGAAAAGAGTTTGCTTTCCAGAGAAAAAGAATCTACGTAGTCTGTTGGAGCCTTCCGGCCACAAAAGCAGTAAATCTGCACAGAAATAAAAAGGTTTTCCAGGAGCAGGGAACCTCAAGCAACTGTATGTATAGAAAGGATGCAGGAAAATGCTGGTGTATGGGGGGAAAGAACCAGCTTAGGCTTCTCCCAAGCCTATCATTGGCATAAAGGTAAAACTCTAATATTTTACTCTCCCATTTAAGAATTAAAGGGCCCCTCTACACATGCCAGTAAAGGTGCAATGAGATCTAATGTGCAATTCACATAACTGTGGCTCCTGCCATACCACACATGCGTGGCAAGAGGTGCAATTGTGGGATTGTGCACTACATCCCATTGCACCTTATCTCCGGTGCTGGATCACAATCTTGGGCTCCCCCTGTACCAGCTCTTGCAGCTGTGACCCCACAGCAGGTGTGGCTCAGCAGGGTTTGCAGTGGGGGCAGCGCTGGGAGCGGTGGCCCCACTGCAAGCACTGCGAACTGTGGGGCTCGCACTGGCAGCAGCAAGGAGAACGCTGCCCATGGTGTGAGCCTCCTGAAGTGTGGGCTCTGCAGCTGTGGCAGCATGGGGAACACCACCGCCACTGCAAGCCCTGCAGCCCACATTGGCAGGAAGAAAGCTACTGCTGCTGTGAGCATCCCGAGGTGTGAGGCTCAGGGCTGCAGCAGCATCCCTCACGCACTGCCCTGCTGCAATCCCAGCATCACAGGAGGGTCATGGGGAGCAGCGTTTTCCCCATGGCAAGCCACACAGCTGACAACACTGCCTCAACTGCGAGCCTCGTCAGCTGAAGGGCTGGCAACCAGTGGTGCTCCCCTGTGGCTGGGAGCCCCTCAGTTGATGGGGCTCCCAGTCACAGGACTTGGCTGCACCTTCAATTAATGGAGTGATTAGAACAAACTAACAAGTTATTACACATTTTTTGTGGAATAACTTTGTAGTGTATTGCTTGTTTTAGCCTGCCATTAATTGGTTAAACATATAGCTGGGTCACAACTTAAGGCGTGATTACCTGGTTAATCATGCCTTAAGTGTAATGTGTAGGAGGGGGCCAAATTCTCACCTACAGGTGGACCAGTGAATATTAAATAATGCAACCTTGGAAAATATTATTTGTATTTCAGTGGGGCTGAGGAACTCTAGCCCTGGACCAAAACCCTCCTGCACTGTACAACCACAGAAGAAAAGTCCATACCCCAGAGAGCTTACTACCTGAGTCCTGGGCAGTTTCCAGTAACACAGGTTTTCAAAAAAAAA